GGTGCTCCACACCGGCCCCGAAGTCCTGTATGCCTTTGGACACCAGTGCCGCCTCATCCCTGAGCTCCGGGTGCACGTAGTCCTGAAGTGAGGCACCGGAGCCGCCCAGACCTACCGACCGGGCGAACCGTTTGGTGCCCTCGCCTACGATCGTACCCAAGTTGGACACTGGTTTACGGACAGCCCTTTCCAGTTGTCTAAGATGTCCGCCCGTGTATTGTATGCCTGGAGGTGGACAGGGATGTTGTTATTCTAGTCATTAATCAAAATTAAACAAAATATGTGGCCCCAGTAGTCAAAAGGTATACTTAAACTCCACTTTCCTATGACTATAGTAATACCAAACCGTAGTGTATAGTCATATGAAAGCAGAGTTTGAGTACACCTTTAGACTACTGGTGCCACATATCATAGGGTTAGACCAGTCACTGACCGGTCAGGGCTACGAATAGCCGGAGTATATCATTAGTTCCCTCGAATATGCGGAATATCCTGACATCCCGGAGCACTTTCTCATTTAAATTATATCATTAATTAAGTTAACAAACTTTTAATTTTGATATAAGTGTTTTATATAATGTACAAATATTATTTTTAATTTATTGATTATTAAAACGTTAAACTTTCTTATATTAGTTATTATCTCAGTATTAAAACAGCATTTAAAAATATATTTACATTATGTACACTACCAATATGAAAATATATGATATCACAAACCAACCTAATTCTGGATTATTTTTATTTTACAGTTTTGATTATCTAATGTATTTTCAACGTACATATTAAAATATATTTTCAATAGCTGCTATGTGTAAATACTAATATACTTAATGTATGAATATAAATGATATAATACTACTGTATTGTTTCATCCATAATGTTTAAAATCAATAAAATACAAAAAGTTATGATACAATATAATGATTAAAAACTGCCAACATAACATGAAAATAATATTTATGTTTATGCGCAAGCGCACTATTAAAGTACAATGTACATAATTACAGTTAGCTAAAGTCCACATGCACTAACTATTATCGCAATGTGTTATTACCTTGAAACACATTAAATAAAAATAAATACGCAATAGCATTTAGCTAAATATTGTTAACAAAATGGATAATGTTGATACAACTAGTCCCGATAATACTCGTAGAATGTGCCTGGTCTGTGGCGATAAATCATGTGGTAAGCCCCTTTAATTACCAAGTTAATTTTTATTTAATTAACAAAGTAGCCGGTTAATTTTAAGGGTTCAATTTTGATGCCATGACGTGCGAGTCGTGTAAATGTTTTTTCCGGCGAAACGCTCTAAAAGTAAACATTTTTTCACACATTTAATGTGTTTTTGTGTTAATAATAACATATGTTTTGTATTTTTAATAGACCCTATCGTGCAAGAAAGGCACTGAAAAGTGTAATATAAACCTGAAAACCCGTAAAAAGTGCCCCAATTGTCGGCTCAACAAGTGTTTAGCCATAGGAATGAAAAAAGTAAAAATTTATTTAAAAACTAAATATTTTTAAAATTAAAATCTTTATAGCTAGTGTATAAGTTTAAAAAGTATGTTGGCTTATTCAGAATTTAATAATGAATATATTTTAATAATGTTTGCATTTATTGATTTATTTTATACGACTATTATATATAGTATTAAGTAAACAAATTAATTATTTACATTTAACATGTCAATCAATACGATTTCTTAATAATTAAGAAAATTGCGAATATAAATTAAATTACAGATTAATTACATTTTTAATTGATAAAATAATTTTTATAATTACAGTATTAAGGTTGTTTAATATTTGAACTAATCACATTTAAATTATAATCACAGGAATTAATATGGGACTCACAAAAACGGTATAAACGGCGCTACATCATTGAACGAAACCGTGTGAAACGATATAGGTCACTTACTAGTCATAACCAAGTTACCTCCACAAACAACTATTTGCTGCAAAACATGTCAATGCAAGATTCAACCATGACAATGTGTCCAAGTGCAATTTCCGATTTGACAAATACTACAGATGGCGACACTATCACCGATTTAGACACTAATTTATATGAGAAGGCATTCACGTTAGGCATGTCTGTGGTGTCGATACCGCCACCTATCGTCGACTATAAAACTATTTTTAATGAACTCGAAGGTAATAGATTTACCGAACTCATTATGGCCATGGATTTAATTAAAGTAGTGCCCGCCAAATATATTTCCGAGGTAACTTCGCTTGGTGATTTTTATCTCGCTAGTGACATACAACGTGATAATGATATTAAGAATGTGGCCAAAGTGTTCAAAAGATTAGTATCTTAATTAAAGTAGTGCCCGCCAAATATATTTCCGAGGTAACTTCGCTTGGTGATTTTTATCTCGCTAGTGACATACAACGTGATAATGATATTAAGAATGTGGCCAAAGTGTTCAAAAGATTAGTATCGTTCAATGAGATTTGTGAACATGATAAGTTTGTGTTGCTAAAGTATGGTGCGCTGGAATTACATTATTTACGGTGTATTACCTATTGGAACTACGACAAACAAAGTTGGGTTGTAAGCATGGTGAGTTTAGTTATATATTTATTTTACAGTTAATGCAGTTAATGTATAAGGTTAAAATTGTTTTATATATTTGTTGGTAAACTAGGATGACCAAAATGCCATGAATTTGAGCATAGACTTTGTACAATCGATTCAGCCAGATAATAAAACACACGCTTTGTTCAGAGATTATGAGAATGACATGTTTATCGAGATTAATCATGATTTTAACATCATTAATTTAGTATGTTTAATTATTCAATTACAGTATGTCAAAAATTTATTAAAATAATCTTTATAATTTATTTAAGATGGCCGCTATTATTATGTTCAACCCCTACCGGAAAGGGCTTAAGTACAGACACGTTGTTAAGTAAGCTAGATAACAATTTTATAATTTATAATTATAAATATTCATTAATCATGAATCATTATTAATGATCTTGATCATAGATTACAGCAACAGATTTACATGCATTTACTCCGACGTTATCTGCTTGTGAAATACCAGTGCGAGGGGAAAGCCAGTGATAAATACCGGCGCCTTATGAATACGTTAACTGATTTATATTATTTGGAAATGTCGTACAAACAGTTCACCCTGAATAGGGGTGACCAAAATTACACCCCCTTGTTAAGAGAAATATTAACATGCTAAATAAATGATTTTGTTAAATGATTAGTAAATATGAATATGTACAACTTAGATATTTAAATAAAACTAGAAATGTTTATTTTCAATATATAATTACAAAAGTTTTATTATAAAATTAATTTAAAGTATATTTAGTCGAGGGGGTGATTCTGGACAATACCCCCGTTGGTGAGCACCTCCCCTGCGATCAACTTAAGGGCCGAGTAGTTTTTGAGAAGTTGTGTTGAATAGAGACCATTCAGGTTATCCGCTACGCGAGCCGATGCCTACAAGTCATACATCATATGATCAGTTATTTGAAAGCTCTATAGTTTTGAGAGTGTTTAGGATAGTGCCATCCATAGAGATAACGTTATTTTTAAGCTTAAA